GGGAGGGGAGCAGAGAAAAATGTAGAGCTCAATATATATATATATATATATTATATATATATAATATATATATATATATATATATAGAGAGAGAGAGAGAGACCCTGTCTCTAAAAGTGAAGTGTAGAGTGACTGAGGAAGACACCTTATGTATACCTCAGGCCTCCACATGCACAGCCACATGTGTACACACATAGACACAAACACATGTACCATACACATATACATAACCCCTCACAGGAACCTAAGCCTCCTGGGAGCACTGTCTACAAAATATCTCCTCTCTCAGCCTTACTCAACATGGTCACAAGCAGGTAAGAGGTTACAAGAGAATAATATTTATTTTTTGAAACTAGTAATTCATTATGCTATTTCTATTATCATATTTAATTCTCCCAGAAAATTCTGAGGTGGATATTGTTATCACTGTTACCATTCTACACATTCTAGGTACAGTGGTTGTTGGGGAAAAAAAGGCAGTAGTGGTGCACGCCTTTAGCATAGCACTCAGGAGGCAGAGGCAGGAGGATCTCTTTGAGTTTGAGGCCACCTTGGTCTATAGAGCAAGTTCCAGGGCATTTTCCAAAAGCTACACAGAGAAGCCTTGTCTGGTGGGGGGGACGGGAAGAGAGCCAGGTGGTGGTGGTGCATGCCTTTAATCCCAGCACTTAGGAGGTATGCTGATCTCTGTGAGTTCGAGGCCAGACTGGTCTACAAGAGCTAGTTCCAGGACAGCCAGGGCTGTCTCCAAAAACAAAAAACAAGAGGGAGAGAGAGAGAAAAACTAATCAACAAACAAAACCAAAAAACTCATGGCTACTTAGAGCCAGTGTAAGAATTTAAGGCTGGAATCTTGTGGTTTTCTACCATCACGTACTGTCAGTATAGCCAATCACAGTTGTGATATCCTATGAGTAAACAGTTGATAAGCAGAGTCTTCTTCAGCACAGTGTCTTAGAAAACTGACTAACTACTTGGATATTTAAAATCGTGTGCATGGAAAAGTGCTGAGGATGAGAGGAAAAGAAATGAAGGCTGAGTATGAAAGAGTCACAGAAAGCTCAGTGCAGCAATAGCTGATTACTGGTTCACATTTGTCCTGCCTGGTTAGTTTTTTGTCAACTTGCCACAAGCTGGGGTCATCTGGAAAGATGAAGCAAGAAAATGCCTCCATCATAGTGGCCCGTAGGCAAGTCTGTGGGGCATTTCCTTGATTAGTGATTGATTTAGGAGCTCCCAGCCCACTGTGGATGGTACCATCCCCTAGGCAGGTGATCCTAAGTTGTATAATAAAGCAAGCTGAGCAAGCCAGTAAGCAGCCTTCTTCCATGTCCTCTGCATCAGCTCCTGCCTGCAGGTTCCTGCCTTGACTTCCTCTGATGATAGACTTTGACCTGCAATCCAAATAGACTCTTTCTTCTCCCAAGTTGCTTTTGGTCATAGTGTTTTATCACAGCAACAGAAAGCAAACTAGGACATTCAAGGCCGGCCTGGGCCACATATTAAGACCTTGTCTAAAAATGTAAAAAAATCTAATAGAAAATTATGAAGAAACCAAGACCCGAGGAAGAAACTTGTCTTGTCCAGTTTTACCGAAGAAGTTAGTAACTTCTTCAACAGTTAGTAACTGTTGGATCCTGAAGTCCAATCACCGAGGAGGAGTCACCCCAAGAGACCACTCTCATACCACAGTTGATGTAAAAGCAAGAGGATTTAATTAATTCTGTCACAACAGGGTCTTTCAGCATTCGAGAAGCCAGAAAGACCCTGAATAGCTGGTACAGGCTACTTTTAAAGAAAAAAACTACAGAAACAAGGTGGGGGGGGAGAACTCAGGGGTTGATCTTCAACTATTATAATTGGCTTATTAAAAAGGCTACTGGCAATGATTGGTCTGAGCCAGGGTGGGAGAGCTGTTGCCAGATCAGGCAGGGTAAGGGGGAACATCTGTGGGTTACTTTGACCCCTTCCTAGGGACTGAGTCAACACCTAAGGGTTATCTTGCCCCTATTCCAATAACTGAGTTCTATTTGGAGAACATCCACAAGAACACAGGGAGATGGGAAATCCCCAACTTTCCAGTACATGCATGTGAAGTTGTTAGGTCCTTGGTTACCAGGGGAAGGGGGAAAGCACTAAGGCTGAGAGGCCTCAGAAATGGCTTCAGAGTTATTGTAGAGTTTTACAGTAACTAAGAAGAGTCTGGAAGTATAGTGCCCAATATCTTAGTATTATCAACTTGATAGAATCTAGAATAATTTACAAGACAGACATACTGTGAGGTGTTGTTTTGGGTAGGCTTATTGATGTGGGAAGTAGGTGGCAGTGTTCCTTGAGCTTGGGTCCTGAACTGCAGGAGGAGAAGGCTGGGTGAATACCTGGATTCAACTGTCTCTGCTTCCTGACTGCACATGCAATGTGACAGCTGCCTGAAGCTCCAGCTACCATAGTGGACTGTACCCTGGAACAACGAACCAAAATAAAACTTTTCTATCCATGTTGCTTTTGCTCTGAGTATTTTAACACAGCAACAGGAAAAGTTGTGAGCCTAGTCTTTAACAGCTGAGCCATCTCTCCAGGCCCAGGAACAGGAAAAGTAACTAATATAGGAGATGCAAGGTATGATGTGGAATGGCCTTCTGTATATGTGTTGCTTTTATTGGTTGATGAATAAAGCTGTTTGGGCCAGTGGCTTAGCAGAGTAAAACCAGGCAGTAAATCAGAAGCGGGGGGAGGGGGAGCAGAGTCAAAGAGATGCCATGTAGCTGCTGAAGGAGAAGGAAACCTACTGGTAGGCCACAACCTTGTGGTGATACATAGATGGATAGAAATGGATTTTAGTTGTCAGAACTAGCTAGAAATGTGCCTGAGACACATCGGCCAAACAGTGTTGTAATTAATATAGTTTCTGTGTGATTATTTGGGTCTGGTCGGCTGGGAAACAAATGAGCAGTCTCTGGTTACACAAAAGCCCTGAAATACAGCTAATCAGAATTAAGATAGCTTATAAATTGAGCTCATTGTGGTGGTACAGACTAATGATCCCAGCACTTATGAGACTCAGGCAAGAAGATGGCTATGATTTCAAAACCAGCCTGGTCTACATAGCAAGACCTTGTCTCAAGGAAACAAAACATTGATAGGATTTCAATGTTTGCATATGGAAAAATGTAGAATATCACTTCAATATCCTTTCATATTGATTACATGTTAAACTGACATTTTAGTTATATCTTGTAATAGTTTGAATGTGGTTGGCCCCCATAATCTCATAGGGAGTGGCACTATTAGGAGGTATGGTTTTGTTGGAGTGGGTATGGCCTTGTTGGGGAAGTGTGTCACTGTGAGGGTGGGCTTTGAGGTTTCCTATGCTCAGGATACTGCCCAGTATCTCAGTTGACTTCCTGTTACCTACAAGATATAGCACTCTCAGCTCTAGCACCACATCTACCCACACACTGCCATGCTCCCCACCATGATGATAATGGACTGAACCTCTAAAATATAAGAATGGCTGTGGTTATGGTGTCTCTTTACAGCAATAAAAACCCTAAAACATATCTAATACAATAAAGCATTAAAGTTAATTCCACTGTTCCTTTTACTTTTAATGATTGTGGCAATAGCCAGGCATGATGGTACATGATTGTGGTCCTAGCATTGAAGAGGCAGGGGCAAGTCAATCTCTATGAGTTCAAGGTCATGTCATATGGTCAGACTTGGTGTTAAAATAAAACTATAAAATTCTAGTTTCTTGACCATAAAAGAAAAAGAAGTAAAAGAAAACATTGTGTAATAAAATATTTCACTATGCTCAAAAATGGAGAGAGAATATTGTGAACATGGTAACACAAATGCATTCTGAACACTGACATGCATCTCTATAAGTGATAAAGCTCACAGAATGATAACTTAGTATATCTCAAGCCTGACAATCTTCCATCCATGTGAGTTGTTTCTTAAGAATTTATCACAGCATTATAGAGATGGTTCTGTGGTTAAGAGTACTTGCTGCTCTTCCAGAGGACCCAGGTTCTGCTCAAAGCACCCACTTGGCTGTATGCAGCATCTATAACTCCAGTTCTAAATGATGTGATGTCCTCGTCTGGTCTCCTCCATTCCTAGACACGTGGTACAGACACATGCAGGAAAAACAAAAACCCAACAACAACCTTGCACATAAAATAAAAATAAATCTTAAAGAATTTAGCACATACAGGGCTAGAGTGATGGCTCAGAGGATAAGAGCACTGACTATTCTTCCAGAGGTCTTGAGTTCAAGTCCCAGCAACCACATGGTAGCTCTCAACTATCTATAATGAGATCTGGTGTCCTCTTCTGATATGCAGAAAGAACACTGTATACTACAAATTCTGCAGAATTGGTTCTCTTTGTGTGTGTGCGGGGGGGTGGTCAGGACAGAGTTTCTCTGTGTAACAGCCCTGGCTGTCCTGGAACTCACTTTGTAGACCAGCTGACCTCGAACTCAGAGATCTGCCTGCCTCTGCCTCCCAAGTGCTGGAATTAAAGGTGTGCGCCACCACCTCCCGTCCAGGACAGCTTTCATATGAGGCACCTTCTTATGATGTACAAAACATCACACATACACACATACTCCGGTATCATTTGGCAACAAAATTGTCCCTGTATATTTTTAAGTTGCCCTCTAGGTGTGGCACTGTCCTTCTTGGGAGCACTGCCATCTTTTTTTATTAGCTCACGTTGGGCTGTTCTGCAGTTGGGTCTAGCTGTCCTGGCCTTAGTCAATCTCCTCCTTCTTAGGCCCTTACTGTGCTCCCTCCTTTGCCTGGAAAACTCTGCTTTATGTCTGGATAAATCTTGCTGAAACTTGGGATCTCAGCACGTCCACATCCCAATCTAATTTAATTCTTCCTGGTGTGTGTGTGTGTGTGTGTGTGTGTGTGTACACGCGCACAAGAGGGTAAAATCGTGTGGATGTCAGAGGACAGCCTGATAGATTCAGTTCCCTCCTTTCACCATGCATGGAACTCGGGTCTTGGTGGCAAGCACTTTCAAATGGTGAGTTTATCTGACTGATTTTTAATTCCGTTATTGCCAGCCTTGAGACTTACCGCATTGTGTTAGTGTCTATGGCCTGTCTACAGCAATTCTCACTGCCTTAGAGCTATAGAGAGTTTTAGGCTAACCTAAGGCATTTTTCTTTAGAGTTAACAGGGTTGAGCTGAAGTGAGGGATCATCGTTGGTCCAGTCGGGGTTCACTCGCCTTGGTTTTAGGAACCACAACCTCGGAGTCGAGTGGTGCAGCCGCAACCATAGAGAGCGCGAGGCGGGAGCGAGGGGCCGGATGTGGTCACCATAGAGACGGGTGAATGACAGGCAGCGGAAGAGGAAGCCCTGGAAAGGCTAGGCTGTGAGGTGGCAGCGGCTGCTGAGCTGAGCTCCTCGGCCCGCAACGGGGTGGGCTCTTGGTCTCGTCACCCGCGAGGCGGCCCCATCTCCGCCCTGGCCTGCCGTGGGAGTCGGGTGTCCCCGTCGGCCTGATCGGACTGAGCACCCGCTTGATTGATCCTGCTTTCCGCCGCCGAGGCTCGCAGAGCAAACCAGCTGGACGCCGGGCCTCTTCTGCAGTCGGGGGACGTAGGCGATTCGTTTCTGACTTCAGACAATCGGCTAGGATTCGCTTTGGGGCTTCTTCCGAGGGCTGGCACGGGGCTGTGGTTGCCAAGGGACCTAGTCGGGCACTGGCTGATGCAGGCGGAGGTCCTGTTGGGAGGTGGTGAGCCTCTGCTGGCCTTCCCAGACTCCAGCGTTTCTCTTAACTGCTGCTGTCTCCCGGGTTGTTTTATTTGGTAACCTCTAACTACATCAAGAGTGCCTATAATTTGTCCCTTGCTGCTCTTAGGAAGGTGGACAGCTGAGTGGGATGGTCTGCAAAATGGCTCCGTCAGCCATTGCGCTCCTCTGAGAGGCCAGCTGTGCTGAGTCACTGTGGCTGTTCACCTCATTTGGGTGGGCAGATGGGTGATGGCTAGTAGTCTTCTGTGACGAGGGGGTTACTAGAACCTATGGGTTACTGTGACACTCGGGAGCAGGGTGGAAGGAGACTTTGACCCCTTCTCTAGTGCTAGCCTGCAGCAGTAGGTAAGGAGTCCCTTCTTGTGCCTGAACAGACATGGTGGGCCATGATCCCTACAGGCCAGAACAGGGTGGCTGAGGTGGGACCCTTTGGTTGGACTGTTGTTTGGATGCTGCATGCTCTTTTCCCTAACCCCTGCTTATCAGGTGCTGCTAACTTTCAGATCAGGCCATGCTTCAGATGAATGTAACCCCTTCTGGGTTAGGTTTGGCAGTGTTGCACGTTCTTTCCTCTTCCTACTGGACTACAGACTGCAGTCCTGGTAGTGAGTGGCATTGTTCACATAGACGTTAGTATTTTGTTGAGAGGTAGAGCAGCACCATGGCCACTGAAGACCAGACATAGGGAGTTGGCAAGTCTTTGTGGGATGCTGGGCCTGGAAGCCAGCACACTTTGTTCCTTTCTCTGTTGCTGACCTCATTGACTTCAGGTTCTCTGATTAAAACTCTGGGGCTACTGCTGGTCTGGTGCCCATCAACCTACTGTTCTTTGAGACTGTGCCCTGGGGCACTCTATGTCAGGGCCTGCCACCATGAGATTGAGCTCGCTGTTGGCTCTGCTGCGACCAGCACTCCCCCTCATCCTGGGGCTGTCTCTGGGATGCAGCCTGAGCCTTCTGCGGGTTTCCTGGATCCAGGGTGAGGGAGAAGATCCCTGTGTAGAGGCTGTAGGGAAGCCAGGAGGGCCACAGAATCCAGACTCAAAAACTGGACTGGACCAAAGTGATGAAGACTTCAAACCCAGGATTGTCCCCTACTACAGGGACCCTAACAAGCCCTACAAGAAGGTGCTCAGGTGAGGGTGATATGTGCACAGTCCCCCAGCACTGATCCTCACTCTCAAGCCATTTGCTGCTGTCTTTGCACTGCTACTCAGTGGTACTTTCCTAGAAGCACTTGTTTCCTATCTTGGTTTGCTCCTATTTTCTCCTCCCCAAGTCTGAGAGTCTCACCCATTGGTGTTAGTGTCCACTGTTCTTGAACAGAACTGTACCTGTACTAACCCACTGAATAGACCTGAGCAGATGCTGCCCTCCCACAGTGGGCACTCACACGGGTAGCTAGTTGGTAGTGATGAAGAAGGGGTACTCTCCCCTTTCCTAATCCCAGCTCTTTCATTCCTAGGGATGTATGTGCTGGGCAAGCTGGTGAATGTTCCCCTAGTGACTTAGGAGTTGACCCCTTATCTTCTGATCTCTCCACAGGACTCGGTATATTCAGACAGAGCTGGGCTCTCGTGAGCGCTTACTGGTAGCTGTCCTGACTTCTCGCGCCACACTGTCCACCCTGGCTGTTGCTGTTAACCGTACAGTGGCCCATCACTTCCCTCGATTACTCTACTTCACAGGGCAGCGAGGGGCCCGGGCTCCTGCAGGGATGCAGGTGGTGTCTCATGGAGATGAGCGGCCTGCCTGGCTTATGTCAGAGACCCTGCGCTACCTTCACACACACTTTGGGGCTGACTATGACTGGTTCTTCATCATGCAGGATGACACTTACGTGCAGGCCTCCCGATTGGCAGCTCTTGCTGGCCACCTTAGCATCAACCAGGACCTGTACTTGGGCCGTGCAGAGGAATTCATTGGTGCAGGCGAGCAGGCCCGGTACTGCCATGGGGGCTTTGGCTACTTGCTGTCACGGAGTCTCCTGTTGCGCTTGCGGCCACATCTAGATGGCTGCCGAGGGGACATTCTCAGTGCTCGGCCTGATGAATGGCTTGGCCGCTGCCTCATCGACACTCTGGGCATCGGCTGTGTCTCACAGCACCAGGTGACAGCCCCTTCAAGGCAATCTCAGTCCCCCAATGGTTGGCAGTGACTGAATGATTTCTGTCCAAACTGAATTCTTGAGACCATCCTTTTGTCCTTCCCAGACGCCAGCCTGCCCCTTCAGTTCTCCCTTGCTCTCCTTACAGCACTGGGGCCATCAAATGTGCGTATCCTTAGGGACCGCTAAAGCCAGAAAGGTGCCAGAACTCACCCCCCCCCCAACCACCACCACCCCATTTCCACATTCAGTGCACATCACAGTTAAGGACAATGTGAAAATGTTCTAGAGTTGGCCAACCCCAAAGTGGAAAGTTCAGAGGTTCCTCTGCTGCCCCAGAGAAGGTGGAGCTTCCCAGAGGCAGGCCATCTTCTATACCAACCTACTGGGAGGTTCTTCTATGACTGTATCCTCATGAGCAATGGGGTTCTTGGGGGAACAGGACGTCCTTAGTTGCCTATTTGCTTTCTCATTTCCAAAATGTAGGCACTGGAAGTAGGAATGGAGGAGGGGGAGCCACTGCATTTCTGTTCATCCTAAAGCAGCAGCAGGGATGGTGTAAATGCTAAGGAGGGCTGAGGGAGCTTTGGGGAGTAACAGCTTATGTGTGCAGCATTGATTGTCTAATTGGTCCCTCTAGGGGCAACAGTATCGCTCCTTCGAACTGGCCAAGAATAGGGACCCTGAGAAGGAGGGGAGCTCTGCTTTCCTGAGCGCCTTCACCGTTCACCCTGTCTCCGAGGGCACCCTCATGTACCGCCTCCACAAGCGCTTCAGTGCCCTGGAGTTGGAGCGGGCTTACAACGAAATAGAGCAACTGCAGGTGAGCCGATGCAGTGCACTGCAGTGAACTGATGGAGTGAGATGCAGTGAACTGATGCAGTGAGCTGCAGGTGAGCTGATGGAGTGAGATGTAGTGAGCTGATGCAGTGTGTTGCAGTGATCTGCAGGTGAGCTGATGTAGTGAGATGCAGGTGAGATGCAGTGAGCCAATGCAGTGAGCTGTGCCTGAGGACAATGACTGGATGCTTAGGGAGTAGGCAGCTGAGGTGGGGGCTGGGCTAGTAGATAAAAAGAGGCTAACTTCCTAAATTTAAAACAACCAGAGGGACAAGGGACCCTGGGCTCTAGGATATTGTAAAGTAAAGCCCTGAGCTGACTCAGGTGCCTCTAAATGTGTAGGTAAAGTCCCAGGAGCTTTCAGTACTGCTCTCTGAGACAGCAACCCACAAAGTCCCAAGCTTCTAGAATTGTTCTAAAAGGTTCAAAAAGTAGAAGAGGGGAATTCTATAGTGTGGGTCTCCAGAGCTGGGGTGTAGGTAGGAGCAAAGATCTGGTCGTGAAGAGGATGTGGGTCCTATGGCTATGGGAGTGAAAGTTTTGAGCTTTGCCTGTCGAGACCCACTTGCTCTGTGGAGCATATGATCCTCCTGGCAGCAGCTGTGGAAGGTGGGTATTGTTCTTCCTTTCTGCACTTTAGATGAGTTCTGTTACATGCGAGGGACTAGGTGTTGAACCAGGAGGCTGCTGTTAGAACCTCAGAGCCTGGGCATCTGGAGTCGGGTGGGATCTTAAAACCAGCACTAATGTTGAGTGCATTCCCTCCAACCTAGGCTCAGATCCGGAACCTGACCGTGCTGACTCCTGAGGGAGAGGCAGGGCTGAGCTGGCCTGTTGGACTCCCAGCCCCTTTCACTCCACACTCTCGCTTCGAGGTGCTGGGCTGGGACTACTTCACAGAGCAGCACACCTTCGCCTGTACAGATGGGGCTCCCAAATGCCCGCTGCAGGGGGCTAACAGGGCAGACGTAGGCGATGTGGTGGACACTGCTCTGGAGCAGCTCAATCGACGCTATCAGCCGCGCCTGCGCTTCCAGAAGCAGCGACTGCTCAATGGCTACAGGCGCTTTGACCCCGCAAGGGGCATGGAGTACACTCTCGACTTGCTTCTGGAAGCTGTCACTCAGCGAGGGCACCGACGCTCACTGGCCCGCAGAGTCAGCCTGCTGCGGCCACTGAGCAGGGTGGAAATCCTGCCTATGCCCTATGTCACTGAGGCTACCCGGGTGCAGCTGGTGCTGCCGCTCCTGGTGGCTGAAGCTCCGGCTGCCCTGGCTTTTCTTGAGGCCTTTGCTGCCAGTGTTCTGGAGCCTCGAGAACATGCATTGCTCACCCTGTTGTTGGTATATGGGCCCCGGGAAGGCCGCGGGGGCCCTGACCCATTTCTTGGGGTGAAGGCTGCAGCCGCTGAGTTAGAACGACGGTACCCTGGGGCGAGGTTGGCCTGGCTTGCTGTGCGAGCAGAGGCCCCTTCCCAGGTGCGACTCATGGATGTCATTTCCAAGAAACACCCGGTGGACACACTCTTCTTCATTACCACCGTGTGGACGAGACCTGGGTCGGAAGTCCTCAACCGCTGCCGTATGAATGCCATCTCTGGCTGGCAGGCCTTCTTTCCAGTCCATTTTCAAGAGTTCAACCCTGTTCTGTCACCACAGAGATCCCCCCCAGGGGGACCTGGGGCTGGCCCCGATCCCCCATCCCCTGGTGTGGACCCTTCTCGGGGGGCTCCCGTTGGGGGCAGATTTGACCGGCAGGCATCGGCAGAGGGCTGCTTCTACAATGCTGACTACCTGGCAGCCCGAGCCCGGCTGGCTAGTGAACTGGCAGGCCAGGAAGAGGAGGAAGCCCTGGAGGGGCTGGAGGTGATGGATGTTTTCCTCCGGTTCTCAGGGCTCCACCTCTTTCGAGCCGTAGAGCCAGGGCTGGTGCAGAAGTTCTCCCTGCGGGACTGCAGCCCCCGGCTCAGTGAGGAACTGTACCACCGCTGTCGCCTCAGCAATCTGGAGGGTCTGGGAGGCCGTACCCAGCTTGCCATGGCTCTGTTTGAACAGGAGCAGGCCAACAGCACTTAGCTTCCCCACCCCTGTGGAAGGGCAAGGCAAGGTGATGGACAGATGGAGGGCTTGTTACTGTATTTTTTTAAAAACAAGAAAATGTTATTAAAAGTATCTTCTGCCAAACTGTTTTTAGGGAGAGGGGTAAGAAGAATCTGAGGGAGGGTTGTGGAGAGTTTGTCTACAGGATTCCATTGCCTTCTCCCTCTCTCTCCCTCCCTTCCCAGTCCCCAATGACCACAAGGCTGCTGCTGTCTGATGAGTGACCTTTAATCCAGTCCTCCCCACTTCCCCACCCCCAACCCCTCAGCAACAGGGGAGGGAGGCCCAGAGTCCAGGGCCTATGCCGGACAGTGTGGCTGGCTGGTCCACAGTGCTGCTTGTTCATGGGCTCCTAGGTGTTGCGCACGACCAGCGATTGTTCCAGCTCCTGCCTGCGCTGCTGGATCTTTAGAGGAAGTGTGAGCAGGGGCAGGGTTACATTGATCCTGGTGAGTGACCAGGGGGTACCCCTTCCTGGCACCCCTTCCCTGGAAGAGTCTGGGAGCCCAGAGACTACTGCATGGGGATGTAGGGTGGTGGACAGGTGTTAAGCGTAGGTGGCAACAAAGACTATTGGAAGGTGAGAAGCAAGGATTCACTAGAACTGGAGAAGAGGGAAGCCTCGTGTTCAAGGGCCTCCATTACCTTACAGTAGAAGTAGCGGCTGACGGCTTCCTGGGACCAGGGCTGGTGGTAGAACTCAGCCCGGCGTTCCTCTTCAGGGTTACCAGCCACATCTGTCATTACCTGGGGGGGAGCATGAGGTCTGTCCTGAGTTCCCCAGTACCTCACCTGCCTGAGTTGCATGTCCACCTTTCCTTCCCCATGTGCTTGTCTTGGTGCCAATGCTCCCGGAGCCCTCTTTTCACCTTGAGGTCTCGGCTCTGAGAGCGGAGCAGATCTTGGACATAGCCTTTGGGGTCTCTGGAGAAACTTAGCATGAAGTCCCTCTGGATCTTGAGCTGGTTTATGGACTCAATCGTCTCATGGATCTACAGGTAGAAAGACAACGATTTCCACCTGACCCCGTGATGTGGGCAAGGAATGCAAGAGGAAGAAGGGGGTGGGGGACTTGTTTCTCTTGTGAAGCAAAATTCCCCAGAGCCAGTTTCCTTTGAGCAGGGAGGGGAGGGGGTGGGCAGAGCTGAACTTGGAACAGGTCAGCTTCTCAGCAGGGAAGGACTGTGTGTTCCTTGTGTCCTAGGTCCATGCTGTGGTCTGAGTGTTTTGTCCTCTCTCTTGGTTAAGGTCCCACCCTAGCTCTGGGCTCAGGCCGCACCTTACTGTCCAGAGCACTGATCTCCTGCTGGTTGGCCGTGGACAGGAGAAAGCTGCTCATCTGCCCCTTCAGTGGCTCCTCTACCTCCACATCAATGTCATAGCATGCTGTCTTCTTCTGGTCTGATGGGTCCACGCTGCCAGAGAAGTCCAGCCTATGATGTCCATGGTACACCCCATAGAAGCCCAGGGGTAGGGCAGGGGTGGGTACAGGAGGAGGGTGGAGAAAGCAGGGACTTTCCCCAGTCTGTGGAGTAAGCTAGGCCACCTCACCTGATGACATGGTTGATGACAATTGGGTCAGGTGGCAGCAGCAGGGCTGTGAGGCGCTGGGGAATCTCAGAGAACTTCAGGCGGGGACAGTCAAAAATCTGAAGCAGGATTATTAAGAGGGGGTCATTCTTGTGCATGTGTGAAAATCTGAAGCGGGATTATTGGGAGGGGGTCATTCTTGTGTATGTGTGAAGAGACAGTAACTAATTTGGATGCTTCAATTCTGGGAAGACCAGAAGAAACTGAGATTACTGGGTGCTTGCGGCAACAAGCTAGGTTAGAGGTGGAGAAACAGGCATGACTAATGGGGAGGCCAGCCTGGGACCCTAAGTATGCCTGTTTGGTTGTTAGTCCTGTCTACCACATTTTGTGAACAAGTTACTTAACACCTTGAGTCTTGGTGCCTTCATCTCTAGAATGGGGACATATTAACAATCTCTATCTCATGGGTTGTCGTCATGAAGATCAGGTGAATTAAAATACAGACATAAATGTTTAGAATGGGATATGGTAAGTGCTCAATAAATTCCAACTACTATTTCTACTTAGATTTATCTGCTGTGTTTATTTTAAAATACACTAATAGTAATACCCTACTTTGGTAGAATTTTCCCAGATCATTTTTTGCAACACTCTGGTTTTTTTTTTTTAGCTGCCAGTTACATGTGATGGCACAGCTTTCACCAAAGACAGAACCAGAGGCAGGAAGGATAGCAAAGTAGGTTACCCCAAGTCTAGACCCAGGACTGGGACCCCAGGAATCCCAACTCCAGGTACCAAGAAGATTACATTACAAGATGGTATTGCCCATTGCCCCCCTCCCCAGGAGGGTCCCAGATATGTTTCCCTTGGAGCAGCTAAATAGACTGTGGAAGAGCCTGGATGAGATCCTGCCCTTGGCTCTGACTCAGTTCCTGGTATTCAGGGATTCAGCAAGAGAGCTGGCTACCTTTGGGAGGGGCTGATGCTAGGTCACTATGCCCGCTTCCCAGACCCCAGGACTTAGGACATCTATTACCTGCTGGAAATACTTGTCTCCATTGATGTATTCCTTGTCATGGGAATCCTGCAGCCGGTTGGTCTTCACGTATTGCCACAGTGCCTGCACAATGGCTGAGCGGCTCTGTGTATGCAACCCCAGCAGCCGGGCTAAGCGAGGGTCCAGTTTGAACTGAGGAGGCTGGGAAAAGGTCACCAGGACAATTAGCTTAAAGGGGGAAGAAGTGGGACTCAGGGGCTTGGGGCTTCTGGTTCTCAGCAGTGCACGCCTAGAGAAGATAGGTAAGAAGGAGAACGGGGTCTTTGGGTGGTATATGCATGTGAGGGGTAAAACCAACCTGATAGTCCAGCATAAGGAGCAGGGTACAGCGCACACTCAAGTCCCCTGGCCTCTTTACTTGAAACCCATCTGTCTCCTGGGTTGTGGGTGTCCGATGCCACTGTCCGGGGCGGGGGGGGCGGGGAGAAGCAGGTCATCCACAGACCCATCTGGATTGATGGGGCTGAGAACTTTAGGAGGCTCCTCAGTCCAAATCTGCAGCTTCCTCGGGGCCTTGGGTAGGTGGGAAGGTGGGGACTCAAGGGCAGAAGCAACCTGTCTTACCTCCACGAGGTGGTTGTCGGGGCCATAAAGATCTTTGTCCAGCTCAATGACCAAACTCTTGAAGAAGGAAGAGAACTTCCGTTTCTGCTTACTGGGCTGTGGGAAAGTGACAGGGACTGTGGGGGCAGAACAGGGACCATGGACACAGAATGGGCCACGTTGGCAGCAGGCAAGTGGTATGCTCAGAGGCAGTCCTCTGTACCCAGACTGTCCCCAGGCCCGCCCGCCCACCCCAGCCAGGGCTGACGACCCAACTCCCAGTACAGACATGTCCTCGACTCAGCCCATACCCACCCCAGGACACCTGGAGAGACCTGGGCCAGGACGTACATCATCCAAGAGCTTCCCCTCCACCCGTAGCTCCCAGGAGGCAATGCTGCCATCAGAATCTTCAGCATCGGGCTTCGCAGGGTTAAAAGTATTGGAGATATAAAGGCGCAGCTTTCGCTTTTGCTGTAGAAATAAAGTGTATCACAGGACAAGGGCTGTGTGCACCCACCCGGGGGTACCCTGCTTCCTCCTGGACTTAGAGCCCTCTTTCTGCTCCCACACTAAGGCACCTTCATGGGTCTCTTCAGGGCCTCCTGGATGTCCACCCGCTTCCGCATGATAGTTTGATCCAGCTTCCTCTCGAATGCTAGGAGGTCCATGTAAGCCTGGGACTCAGGGACCAGCTCCCGAATCTGGAGGAGGAACAGGGTCGCAGCAGGGCTCAGTCAGGCAGGCAATGCAGAATGTGTGCCTGTTCTGTGATCACAGGACACAAAGGACATGTAGGGGAGCTGTCCGATTGATTTCAGGGTGTGGAATTCTGCGAGTGCAGACAGGACTTATCCCCGGGACTCTATTTTATAGCCTCATTGTGTGTGGATAAAGATTGCTTCTCCCTCCAGGAAAATCCATGCATCTCATCACCAGGGAAGGAGGCAGCAACCGGCAGTGCAGCAGGCACAAGAGCCTAGCCTCATCCCACCACCTCCCTAAGACAGTGGGAGGTAGACTTGGTGGCCTCAAGGGCCCCACACCTGCTGCCCTTTCCCATGTCCAGGACTTTCTGCTACCTTCTGTTCCCTTTACCTAGCAATCTCCTGCCCCTTCTTTGTCCCATGCCTTTATGCCTTCAGACTACTGGCATTCAACCCCTTAACCTCAGGCCCTGTGTTCTGCCCCTCCTCCCTCCATGGCTCTCCAGCTTCTTCCCTCAGTCCTGCCCTGCCCTCTCGCATGGGGAGCCTCACTTCTTAATGAGCTTTTAAAACAAAAAGTGAAAGTGGCTATGAAGCTGAGCCCAAAGCTTTGCTCCTGAGGGAGGAGGGGAGGGCGGAGCAGCAGAGGGTGGGGGCCGGCTGGGGGCTGCTGTGAAAGGCACTCACCCTTTGAGGGAGGATTTTGTCAGCCATCTTCCTCCTCTTGGCACTGTACATTTTTAAAAGAAAAAACCAGGTTACCATGGCGACAGATCTGGGAGTAACGAGGCCACCTGCTAAATTATCCCGACATCTCCGCCCGCCTGGCTGGGGTTCCCACAGCCTGCTTGTCTGCCCGTCTGAGGGCTATAGCCGCGATGTGGAGCTTGTACTTCCATTGGAAAGCAGGGTGACTGGTCCTTTCTCTGGCTTGGGACTCCCCTACCCCCCACACACCTTACACCTCAACACATTCTCAGAGCCAGAGGAATTCAGACTTAGGAGGAACTAGGGAAAGCGGAGATGCTGCCAAAAGGTGACTGCAGAAATGTTTGCAAAAAGCTGGGAGGTGGGGGAAGACAGAAGAGAAGAGACAGCCTCTGAGGACCCTCTTCTCCTGCCAAGCAGGAGGTCCATGCCCAAAAGAGCCCGAGCTCCAAGAAGAGGAGAGATGACTCTTCCACCTGGTTCCTGGAGCCGTCATGGTGTGAAGCTGGTGGGACTTGGCACTCCTGCCGCTCTGGGCTTGGAAGGGACTGTTTAAGGGCAGGAGGCGCTTGTGGTCTTGGACCATTTGCCAACCAAGGGACACACCACATTCACAAGGACCCTGGAAATGTGCAGGAGTGTTCTATGTGAGTGTGACTCGACACTGGAACCAAAGTGGCCGGACCTATGGTAGACAGCACCTGGAATTTCTCTGCTTCAAAAGCAACCTAGAAAACCCTTGGCTGGCCAAGAGTGCACACAGCCTAGAGGATAGCTCTACACTGCCCCCATGTGGCGTTCCCACTCACTGCCCCCCTCCCTATTCAGAAATTCAGTCTGTGCCCAGGCAACCAACTCATTAAAGAAAAAACCGACCCATTCTTAGACTGGGCAAGCCTCTTATGAAAGGATTTCAAATAAATTGTCCACACAAAACTGTTAACTTATACAAAAGTCAAAGAGTTATTTGATAATGATTCACTTTATAAAATAATTTATCAAGGGACACCTATAAATGATTTTCCTTGATGTGTTAAAAACTACTTAATAACGAGGTAAAATTGATATTACATCTTGTATAAGAACCCATCTGTTGTGCAAAAAGAAGCATATGTGTTTGGCTAAATACTGAGGCCCATAGGGATCTTGCCAACAGTCATCTGGGGCCATGGGAGTGCCACCAACTTCTCAGACTAGGACATACGCTGGTCCGGTGGCCTGGAGGCAGAGCTGGTCCCTCAGAGGAATTACACCGCCTATTCACACCCAGTGCCAAGATAGGGACTGTGGAGGTCTAGAGGAACTCTGATGCAGCCTGGGATTCAGGACTGGCAGGGAGGTACCGGAGGACCACACTTTAGAAAAAACACAGTTAAAGCTCAGCCCTCAGTCTGTTGCCAGCCCTGCCTCTCTCCCCGAAGACTAAAGCATCACCTAGAACTTGGGGTAAAGGACTGGAAAAAGAATTTAGCAGGTGACAAGCAGGAGAGCGAGAGGTGCGTGCAGAGAAGGGATACTGGCAGCTGACTATCG